TGCACAAACGATCCTTGGAATAGATGGTGCCAATATGAAGACGACTATAGTTGTGGCTTATTGGAGCCAACATATTTTATATTTTTTAATTTTAAAATATTAATTTTATTAGTATTTAAGTAAAATTATTAATTTTTTTATTTTTTATTTAATAATATCAAATTTTAACATTTTCTATTTTAAAATGTTAATTTTTAACTTTTTTTTTATTTAATAATATCAAATTTTAATATTTTAATTAAAAATTTTATTTATCACGTTAATATTATTATCTAAATAATTTTTAAATAAAAAATAAAATTAATATTTTTAATTATATATTTTCTCAACGATAATCTCCCTGAAAGGTAGTTTATGAATGATATGATTTACATAGCAAACTAATTGAACAATATTTGTTAATAATAAATTTTACAATGATCACGCAACAATAACAAAATATATTATATACAAATTTAAATTACATAATTTAAATTATTAAATAAAAAACAAATTTTTTAATATTAAAAACTGCCTCTCATGTAATAATAAGGTTCTAATTTTGAATCAGATCTTTAAATTCAATGGTTCGACCTCAAGTCTTATGTGCTTGAGTGAAGGTGGTTAGAGTTTCTAGTTTCGTCACCGTCGTGAACTTCACTAAAAGCAACTTGATAGTCGCGCGTCTCATTTGAGAGAATAAAATATTTACCCGGTCTGAGATCGAATCCTTATTTATTAACAATTAATTCGTACTAACTTCCAAATCATTATCCTTGTAAAAAAAAAATAATAATAATAAATAAATAAGGTTCTAATTTTAAATTAAAAAATTTTAAAGATCAAAACAAGGTATCATTGTTGATGTCATCCTTAGATAATCTAATGTTGCAACTGGACGACGTAACCTTCTTCTCGATGGTGCTGGTGGATTGGGGCCCTACCTCCACCGAATAAATTGGTGGTGTATTTTATGACGATATTTTTTAACCCGTGTTCTAAGGACATATCTTTTAATTATTCGCATTGTTTACCAAAGAGCCACATTGGTCCTTGAAAATTTCAAAGGAGTTTATCTCTAATCCATTAACATGTACATATGTACAAAAAGTATGTGTCCCACCATATCGGAGAGAGGATGGCAGAAGTCAACTTAATTCCATTAATTTCTTTGTTACTCAAGATTTTTTTTTTTTAATACATTAGTAGTAGCAGTTTATTTTATATTGTATAATCGAAGTTAACATAATTGATCGGTGACGCAAATAATTAGTATATATATGTAAAAATATATATTACTTCAATTTTATTAAGAGATAACATTGTGAAGAAACATTTTTATTAGGTATTATCGTTTATAATTTGAACAATAAAAAAACTATAAAATAAGAATCTTTAATGAGATAAAACCTTTAAATATTAAATAATTCATTTATCATTTAAGAATTTATATTTTATAATTTAATAAAATATAGATTGTAAAATAATTTTTCATTTTTATTATACATATATTTTTTA